GTGGGTATAATTGGGACTTAATGGGGACTTAAACGGGTTTGAAGGGGTCAAAAGGGGGATGCCTGAGTTCGATTTTTTACCTTCTTTTCTATCTTTGATTCTGTGAGTAATACTGAGGCCACCCTCAACCAAACTTCCCAGAACCACTGTTAATTTTTAAGACGTTCTCAGAACTATATATATATAATATTATTTTTTTTTTTTACTTCCGACATTTTTTGTCCAGCGGCCACCCGCGACCCGCGGGGATATCCTGCTCCATCAGGTCACAGGGCATGTGCTCGCATGCAAAATCATATGCCTGGCCACACTAAGAAATGGCCTGGGAAGTTTGATTGGTTGCTGCTGGCCGAATTTGAAAATCCATTTTGCCAAGAAATAGTTGGCCTAAAAAAAAAAAAAAAAAAAAAAAAAAAAAAAAAAAAAAAAAAGTTTGGCTTAGGCATACTCACACTAGGCCCTTTCAATCGCGGAATTTCAGGCTCGGCACTGGTTGAGCCCTGATGAAAGGACCAGGTCCGGTCACTGAACTTGCAATTTCTGCAATTTTAAGGGCCTAGTCTGGTCGCTGAACTTGCAATTTCTGCGATTTTAAGGGCCTAGTTTGAATATACTGTCAGTTTGGAAAAAGCCCATACTTGGCATATCTGTTTTGTAACATTAAACCACAAGTACCTCCGAAGTCGCGACAGTGTATTGGCTGCCGCAATCATGAACAGACGACCGAGTTATATTCGCCGTGGTCCCGACTCGCTTGAACGGACGAAGTGTTTTAGTCTGTCGTGTTTACCGTTTTCACCAGGCGAGTATGCTCATCCGACTTTTTTTTTTTTTTTTTTTTTTTTTGAAAAAAATGCCCGTTTGGGAGCTAGGGCCGCTGGTATGAGCAGACGCCTCTATCTCCCCCGGGGAGGCTCCATCTATTAGTGGGGAGCAACACCTGCTGGAAAACGGGTCCAGTGTCCGACTAGAAACGCTTCTACTCTTTTCATTCCTGTGGCCGGTATATGGCCGAGGTACCGGTGGTTTGAAGCGCCACTACAGTACCTTGGTCATACATCGGTCGCGGGCGAGGCTCCACGACCGGTGGTTTTTGGACGCTGGCAACACGACAAAGGCCCCCGCTGAAATTTATCGAAGTTATCAACGGTGGCCCAATGGCAGCCCGGTCCCCGTAAAATGCACTATAGGCTATAGGCTATGTTCCCAGTTGGGACTCCAGCCTGAAAGGTTGTCGTGCTGGTTTCAAGAAAGAAAGAAAGAAAGGCCATGCTATCCCTGTTGCAGGCTATGCTATCCCATGGGCATTCTCCGGCACTGCAAGTTGAGACTTTTTTTTCACTATTTGTAGATCTCTGTCCGTCGTTTTTCTTCAGCGGCCATGCTAATCTTTTTCTGTCCTGCAGAGCCCATGGTAATCTTCTCTTTATCTTTCCAATTTTGACAGATGTCCTCCGGACTAACTTTGTCCTTTTTTTTTTTTTTTTTTTTTTTTTTTTAACTTTGTCCTTTGAGAAGGAAGCAGGGCATGTCCGTCCTTCATGGTGAGGAAAGAGACAAGTGCAGAAATGCGTTTTTGGTGGAGGGTATTGTGCCAGAGCCATGTTCCATGGGACCACGTAGCGTATGGGTTATAGATCTACAGCTGAGCGACAGCAGGGATACCGACAAGAAAAGAAGACGAAAAGAAGAAGAAAAAGAATAAGAATGACAAGTCTTCTCTCTTATCTGCAGTACAAGTGTCCAGATGAGACGAGAAAGTCAAGCAGACCGGACTCGAGCACAGCGCGAGAAAGGGCGTCGCCACACCACTCTCGAAATGTGAAAAGGACAAAAATGTAGCGGGTGCATCTGGTCATGTTCTACAGAGAAGTTCATTCCCATTTTTCACATTTCGAGAGTGGTGTGGCGATGCCCAAAGACGCACAACTTCAACTCGAGGAAGAATCTGGAAAATGCAAGTAGGTACAAGTCGAGAAAGTACACAATTTGGGAAATCTCTATTACAATGGAATCCTGGAATTAGCCTTAATAAATTGAGAAAAAAAATGGAACTCACCTCTCCTACCAAGGACACTGGTTTGTTTGAAAAAAAAAAAAAAAAAACGCTACCCTCTGGCTGCAGCCATGCAGCCATCATCAGGGGGCTTCTACCTACTTCAGGCCTCGCTCCACTACTCTCCACATGCAGAAAAGACGAAGAATGTGGCGGTGTTACGGTGTATCATGATCTTCCCATGTTCTGGCAGAAGAAGTTTCGTTCTCATTCGGTGAGCAATGGAGCGAGGCCCTTTGTCTCTTGAGCTCATGCCAACGTGTTCCCCGCCATCTTTCGAGTCCATTTCAAAATTGCCTCGGAAATGTGGAGAGGGGGATAAGGGAGGGCCAGGAAGATTTATGGGCTGAATGATAAGTAGAAAAAAAAA